TATTTATATATACAAAATAATTATATACAGCACACACAAATATATTATGTAAACATAGACTTTTATTTTGGATGCGATTAATCGCAATTCATTTTTGCACAGCCCTAATATATATATATATATATATATATAAAATATATTAATATCAGTAATTAAATAAAAAAATTCGAAAATATAAATGTTTCATTTAATTTACACTGTAAAACAGATTTTTTGATTATGTAAATAACACAAACGTTACCGTAATAGGTTTTACATTTGCTATTTGCTATTTCTTTTGGACTGAAAAATAGGTGTAAATATAATTTTATTGTAGAAAAACTTCACAAATAATTTCTCTGAGATGTTTTTATCTTTTTTGCAGTTCTTAAATTATTGAAGATGGCCACAGGAATGAGAGCACTGCTTGATACTGTGGTGCAGGCTTTACCGCAGGTACACACACTCACACACACACACACCATCTCTGCTGTGTGATTGTCGTGTTCAGCTGTGTGTGTGTGTGTGTTTCCTCCAGGTGGGGAATCTGGGTTTGCTGTTCGTTCTGCTGTTCTTCATTTACGCTGCGCTCGGGGTCGAGCTGTTCGGGGAACTGGGTGAGAGCAAAACACTTCACATCTCCACAGAACTGAACATTAAATTGATCAAAAGTGACAAAATGCTGACAATATCAAAAATGCTGTTCTATTAATCAAATGAATCCTGAGTGTCAGAACCGTGTTCAACACTGATAATAATCATAACTGTGTGTTGATCATCAGATCCTCATATTAGAGTGATTTCTGAAGGGTCATGTGACACTGAAGACTGGAGTAATGATGATAAATTACACTTTACTGTATATAGAGAACAGATGATGTACACTGGAGTAATATTACACTGTTTTACTGTATTTATGATCTAATAAACGCATCAGAAGAGACTCTCAGAAACCCAAATTGTAAACAGTGTGGTGTAAACAATGAAATCAAACTAAAATCATGTTAAGTCATGATGTAACTGTGTGTGATCTTCCGTCTCTCTCTCTCTGTGTGTAAGTGTGTAACGCGGATTACCCGTGTGAAGGCATGAGCCGACACGCCACCTTCGAGAACTTCGGCATGGCGTTCCTCACACTCTTCCAGGTGTCCACAGGAGACAACTGGAACGGCATCATGAAGGTAGAGCCACACACACACATGCCTGATTAATGTACTATATATTTTTTCTCGATAGTATTTATTGTTTAATATTTTGCATTTTTAGGTACTGGATTATATTTATGCAGTAGATATAGTCAATGTATGACCGCTTCGCTACTCTTTGAGTCTACCCTGCGCATGTGAAGTCTGCGGTGGGAATCGAGCTTGAATGCGGTCTCGAGTGAGAGTCGCAGTTACTCAGAGTTAAAGTGGAGCCTCTCTTTCTTATGTCAGACAGTGCTGAGGAGTCCAGTGTGAGCTGTCTGATAAATGCCTGACAACATTGCAATGATGAGTCATTTTCACAATAAATCCTGCCGAATTAAGACAAGACACCAAAAATAAATAGTGTAAAAAAATGTAACTAATAGGAATTACCATATTTCCACAGTTGATTGAACACATTAAAAATTGGAGGAAATAAATGATACTGCAAGTTTTCTGAAATGCAATGTCTAAATAATATGCAAATAAGGCAATAGCTAATTAAATATGCACTTATTTGCATAAATTTCCAAAACAAAAACTGAACTTTGCCAATATCTGAACAACTCTTCAAAATACAGATATGAATAAAACTGTCACGTTTGGTGTGTGTGCAATAAAATAAACACTGTTTTAGACGTTTTCTTTGCACTAGTCTGAAACAACACAAGTTATGAAAAGCTATAGTCTCCACAGGCGCATTGACCAGTGCATGAAAAAGGTTTTGCCTTAAAGCAAAAATATAAAATGTGCATCAAATAGACATTGAACCCTCATCCTTTCCTCGGGTCATTCCGACCTGAAACTCTTTTTAAATTGAGTGTTCATCAGGTCCAAGAACCGGGACGTTTGTCGAACCACAAAAACACCCAAAAAATGAATGGATTCAAGGAGTTAATAACCTAAAAATGCTCAAAATGCAAACAAAAACTGCTAAAACTGTCCCAAAAAATGATGTATAATGTCTACATGTGTATCTGAATGCACACTGACTTTAGGACCCAGCGGAACGGCTCTTCCAATGGAAGATATTTAGAGCTGAATTAAAAGGATTACGCATGAAATTGTGAGTTATTTTGAATTTAAGTTGAAAGAATGTGAGGAATGTGCTGTCTATTTATTATTTATTGATCAAATCTAGTCATATAAACGTAAAATCAAATAAAAAAATGCAAAAAATCTCCCAAATCTTAAAAATAAAATAAGCTTTCTGGACAAAAAAAAGAAAAAAGTATAATTTTCGGGCTTCGGGTCATTTTGACCCGCGAGGGAAGTGTGTTGATGAGGAATGCCAAATCTGACTTAATTAAAAATAAATAAATACATAAATAAATATACAAAGAAATGTAAAAAAGCAAAAATACATAAATAAATATACGAAGAAATGTAAAAAAAAAAAAGTACAAATAAATGAGTATTTATACTTTTATTTCCTTTTTTCTCACATTTATTTTTTATTTTATTTTTACATTTATTTATTTATTTATTTCCACATTAATTTAATGTCTACATTTATTTATTTCTACATTTATTTAATTCTACATTTCTCTCTCCATATGCTAATGAGGGGGGCGTGTTTTAACTCAGACATCAGCAATCAAACTCAGAGTGGCAGTGCTGAAGCTTTGAGGCCACAGTGACACCTTGTGGTGTGTGACCAAATGAAACAATATCACATTTGATGTCCCCCTAACTGTGTGTAGGGTAGGCTATATAGGGCTAACACACACACAGCACACATGAACACAAACTGCACTCGGGTCTGATAGCAGACACTTGCACATGGAGACTCTGTGCCGCATGTCAGATATTCTGTTCACTTCATGCTTTCTGTTTCAGATGCATTGGCTTTTTTATTTTTTACTTTTATTTAAGTGGAGATTAACACACACACACACACACACTCATATGCTGATGTGTGTGTGTGTTCTCAGGACACACTGCGCGAGTGCCCGCCGGGCGACAGCTCCTCCTGTAACTCCAGCCTGCAGATCATCTCGCCCATGTACTTCGTGAGCTTCGTGCTGACGGCCCAGTTCGTGCTGATTAACGTGGTGGTGGCTGTGCTGATGAAGCACCTGGACGACTCCAACAAGGAGGCGCAGGAGGACGCGGAGATGGACGCGGAGATCGAGCTGGAGCTGCAGGCCGGCCTGTGCTGTCTGGGCCGAGCCGACCGGGTCTCGGGCGCCGGTGGAGGCGAGAGGACGGCGGGGAGCCGGAGGGACACACACACGGCAGCGGTGCACACACACACACACCGCAGGACATCGCCGGACACACTCCAGCAGAGGAGACTCTGCTCACCTGCACAGGTTCAGCTCTCAAGTCACACACACACACACTGTCGACTGATCTAACATGTACATGTCATTCATGTGTGTGTGTGTGTGTGACAGGAGAGCCAGTGGCTGGAGAGTGTGTCTCTGCTGATGAAGGATTCTCTGGATGGAGAAATGCAGATGATCGATAATCTGTCGGGATCCGTGTTTCATCATTACTGCTCTCCACCAATCAGACGAGACGGCAGGAGCCAATCAGGAGAGGTGAGGACACGCTAATTCAGGGATTCCCAAACTTTATCAGCCGAGCCGATGGACGAAGCAGAGCACACACACACACACACACGTCTCGGCGGTTCTGCCGTGTTCATTATTGTGATTGAGAGGAAAGCGCAGCACATATATTCACCTCAGCGTCGGGTGTTGGTGATCAGTGTGTCACTGCAACGGCCTTTTACACCCAAATGAAGAGTGCAAGTAAGAGTGTGTCAGCGCCTCTAGCGAGTCAGAATCGTTTAATTCTCCTGATTCTCATCCCTGAACATGAGCTGATGAAAGATCACGCTCAGCCTTCGTCAAATAATCGTCATGGCTCAATATATTCTATGTAAGAGTAATTCTAAATCAAACGAACGTGAGGATTCACGGATGAATATTTATATTAATGCATGAAGTGTGTAATCCCCTACAGTCACGAGAACACACGCAAATCCTGGCCGTGACGGATCGTACTGTGTGTGTGTGTGTGTGGAGTAGGTCGTTTGATGGTTCTGATCGCTGCATGAATCAGTGTTTGACAGCTTCCTGCTGTGATGTGTGTGTGTGTGTGTGTTGTAGATCCGGCTGGCGGAGATCGAACAAACGTCTCTGATGTCGGAGCAACTGTCGGATAAATCCTCGTCACCGGCTCTCACTGACATCAGCCTGGAGGACCACAGTCTGGACAGAGACTGTAAGGTGTGTGTGTGTGTGTGTAAAACGCAGTGAGTGGGAAAAGGCTAATACATATATAATTCTCTGACTCGGGTGTGTGTTTCGTGAAATATTACTCCAGTGTAAATCAGCTGTTTTCTTAATTTGTTAAGAATAATTTATTCCTGAGTTTATCATCATTACTCCAGTCTTCAGAGTCACATGATCCTTCAGAAATCACTCTAATATGAGGATCTGATGATCAACACACAGTTATGATTATTATCAATGTTTCAATGAACATTTTGACATTTTTTATCATATTATAAACTATTGTGCTGTCTCCTTTGATACATTAATGCATCCTTGTTGAATAAAATCGTTCCCAAACCCTAGTAGTGTATAAATAATAATAATAACTCAAAATTCCCTAATTGTAAATCTATCATTGCCATATTTATAATTTACTTCTAAAGCCTTTTTCTAACTTGACTATACAGATAAGAAGCGTCTTACATGGCTATAAACAATAGATACAAAGAAAGGCTTTTTAATTTGATCAAGTGTGCCAGGGAAAAGTAATTAATTAGCTTTTGCTTTTTTTGAAACTGCACTCAGTTTGATTGCACTCAAATTATGTCCTTTGTTTTTGTTTTTGATAGGGGGAAAACTTTGAGTGGAACACAATATAAATCCACTGCAGCTCTCAAATCTCAGTCAGGCCTAATATGCAGCGTCACACTGTGGGTGAAGCATGATAATAGTGATGACACACACCAACCAAAGACATGTGTGTGTGTGTGTGTGTGTGTGTGTGTGTGTGTGCAGGTGGAAGAGGGCAGCGGGGGCTTGAGCACAAAAGAGGCTGTGAGCAGAAGTGAGGGATCCAGCCCAGGAAGAGGAAGACAGGAACAGGGAGTGAGGCGAGAGGTCGGAGGTCATCGGCTCCAGTCTCCAGCTCACACCGGAGGTCTGTGTGTTCTCTGTTGTCTCAGCTCTCTGCAGGGCTGTTTGCATCAGATGTGTTCTTACTCTTTAAGAGGTTGTGTTGAGTTTACATACATCTTGTGTTATGTTCCATTAATCCATCCAGCTTTTACCTGAACACCCGTGCAATGACAGCACCTTAGTAAGCATCGTGCAACAACCTAGTTAACGTCTTGCAACCAGACCAACAACCCTTGCAAACATCCAGAGCGCCTTACCATCTCCATAGCAACACCCTGGCAACCACCCATAACACCATAGCAACAACCTAGTTAACGTCTTGCAACCAGAGCAAACGGCCTTGCAAACACCCAGAGCGCCTTACCATATCCATAGCAACACCCTAGCAACCACCTACAACACCATAGCAACAACCTAGTTAACGTCTTGCAACCAGAGCAAACGGCCTTGCAAACACCCAGAGCGCCTTACCATATCCATAGCAACACCCTAGCAACCACCCATAACACCATAGCAACAACCTAGTTAACGTCTTGCAACCAGAGCAAACGGCCTTGCAAACACCCAGAGCGCCTTACCATATCCATAGCAACACCCTAGCAACCACCCATAACACCATAGCAACAACCTAGTTAACGTCTTGCAACCAGAGCAAACGGCCTTGCAAACACCCAGAGCGCCTTACCATATCCATTGCAACACCCTAGCAACCACCCACAACACCATGGCAACAACCTAGTTAACGTCTTGCAACCAGAGCAAACGGCCTTGCAAACACCCAGAGCGCCTTACCATATCCATAGCAACACCCTAGCAACCACCCATAACACCATAGCAACAACCTAGTTAATGTCTTGCAACTAGAGCAAACACCCTTCCAACCACCCAAAACACCCTACCATCTCTATAGCAACCACCTACAACACCATAGCAACAACCTAGTTAATGTCTTGGAACCAGAGCAAACACCATTCCAACCACCCAAAACACCCTACCATCTCCATAGCAACCACCTACAACACCATAGCAACAACCTAGTTAATGTCTTGCAACTAGAGCAAACACCCTTCCAACCACCCAAAACACCCTACCATCTCCGTAGCAACCACCTACAACACCATAGCAACAACCTAGTTAATGTCTTGCAACTAGAGCAAACACCCTTCCAACCACCCAAAACACCCTACCATCTCCATAGCAACCACCTACAACACCATAGCAACAACCTAGTTAATGTCTTGCAACTAGAGCAAATCACCACCCAGAACCCCCTACCATCTCCATAGCAACACTCTAGCAACCACTCATAACACCATAGCATCTAGAAAACAAGACAACGACCCAGAACGACCTAGCAATTCCAGCACCCTAGTAAGTCTTCCAACCACCTACAACACCACAACAACTGCATAGCAACACCTTGGAAAATGGTCAGAACACCTTAGCAACACCCCAGCAACCATATTTCAAACTTCTAACAGCAACCTAGAACAACCTAGTTAATGTCTTGCAAGCAGATCAAACCAACTTTTGCAACCACCTACATCACCCTAGCTAGCATCACCTTGAACTCTGTTTATCTGTCCGTTTGAGACGCATGGCATTAAAAGCTATCAAAACTACTTTATGGTTAGTCAACATCAAAGAACTCTTGAAAAACTTTATAAAATCTTTTTTTTTTTTTCAAGAATCTCCATTAAAGAACAGTTATGTATTAATGGAAATGCACAACTAGTCACAAACAGCTGTTGTGTTCGGCTGATCAGTGTGTGTGTGTGTGACAGATGTCAGTGCCGGAGACAGCCGGGCGTCTTCACCTCTCTTCCATCTCCCAGCTGAGTTCTTCCACCCCACCACCGGCGCCATCCCCCAGGGCAGCCCAGCCACCGGAGCGGCCCCGCCCGGCTCCAGACACGCTTCTCCAGCCTCGTGGGCTTCTCTGAGGTCCCCGGGGGCCAACAGCAGGGTCACGTGCTCACAGGTGAGACGCGGCACACGAACAACATAATCAGGACTTGCAGTCAAGTGTCTAGAAGCCTAAATAAGTATGAAGGGGTCTCAGGTAGACAGAGTCAGACTTCAAGCATTACTGTGGCAGCTTATTCTCGCCAACAATCGTACGCTCATGGGCAAAATTCAGTCGTTCAAACTGGGAATTCGGCACGTTGACGACATCTGCTCGCTTTGAAAGTGACCTGTGCTTTATGCATCCCTACCACAGACTGTAAATAAACATGTTTGTAGTGTGTGTGACGTCACCCGTAGTGTTTCTGAAGAGCATTTTTGAAGCCCAAAGTGGGCGGAGCCGGCCGCCCCCATCTTGGTATCCACGTCACTCCCAGATAGACGTAAATGTGCAGCGAGGCGGATTAGCTGAGGTGACGTGATGCTAACGCTAGCAGACAAACAGCTAGTAGAGACATCAGTGGGAATCCACCTGTCACTCAAGTGGCCACACCCTTAATTATGCAGAACTTTAAGCCTTAATATAATTTAAACGGATGAGTTATAAAAATATTCACCCCCTCACTGTCGTAATGAAGGGCAACGTTAGCGATATAGACCAAAACCACTTTTAGCACCAGACTGGAAACTGGAAAGTTGGGCATTTTAACATGCGGGTCTATGGGAGTGAGTCTCTCCTGCAGCGCCTCTAGTGGCCAGTGGAGGAACTGCAGGCTAACTCACTCAGTGTTGATTCGAGAGATCGACAGGAAGGTTGCCGCTTGATCCCTACACCGTTGACAATAGACAGTGGACCTTTGATTGGAAGAGACTAATTCTGATTGTGGATATCTAGTTTTCTTGCTACTAATGGGCTCAAACTCTCAGAATATCTTTTAAAGATTTCAGGACACTGCACTGGAAAACGTTTTCAAATCCAATTTCTAGTTTTTCCTGAAAAGCTCACTATCAACTCCTTGTAATCCTGATATCCGGGTGGACTGGCGCACGCTTGGAGGATGAGTAAAACCCTCCAATCAGACGTCAACCAATTCTATACGTTTACTTGCTTATCACTTTGCTGTAGCGGCGCAACGGATCTCAGAATTCATGGTTCGGATCATTTACGTTTTTTGAGCAAATACACCAATTTCAAGCAGAGATGAATACTAAATAACACCGTTACAAAGTCTAACAGTAGTATTCAGGTACAGAAATTAATAATTAAGCCTAAAACAACTCTATTTGTTTACTGTAGTAAGTTTATTCTTTGTTATTTTATTAACATTATGACACAGATAACAGCAGGAATATTAGGCTGGTGTCACTTTAAAACCGAATAAAGCGTCCAAATCCTGACATACTGTATGTGCCGAACCCTGGGGAGCTGACCCATACGGATCGGATCATGATCAGCTGCGATCCGTTGCACCGCTGCTTTTCTTTGGTTGTTTGCTTCTCTTTCCAGTGACTGTTTTGTTGTTTCTTGCTGCAGACGTCCCGCAGCAACTCCTCACTGGCCACGGGCAGTTCGATAGGGAGTCTGCAGACCACACTAGAGGAGGGGTTCTCCTCGCCAGGAGATCCGACGCTTCCCTCAATCTGCAGAACCCACGTTCCCCCTCCAGAACACACTCAGAGAACTCGTACTCCTCAGACTGCGCTCAACCTCCAGGCCACCAGGGGGCGGCAGAGCAGACACAGTGACTGCACAAACCCTAACTGGGACCCCACAGAACCATCCGACGAGGAATCAGGAGTTAGACCCGGTCAGGCTGCTAATCCTGAACCGTTATCGGATAACTTGAGTAGCTTCTCTCTGACGTCTCTGCACCCGCCTGACTCTCTAGCGCCGCCGCTGGCCAAGAAGTGCAACAGCACTGGGAGTTTAGCGGTCCCGAATAAAGGTGGGAGACGCTTAATCGGACTCAACCCCTGGACTGAGACTGAGAGGGAGACCAAGACGTGTAGACAGACTGTGGGTTCTAGTCGGCGTAAGAACAGATGAAATGCATGTTTTGCTCCAGGATCTGTTTTCTGAACTCGTCTCCGCTTTTCTCTTGAGTGACACAAATCTGATTATAGACCAGCCAGAACTCGGCTCCGGTTCTTCTTCAGGGCATTACTCTGGACGCCTCAGAGGAGATGCAGTAGCGTACTGTAAAATGTTCTGCAACATCAACTGAGAACTCATAGGCAAAAACAGACTTATCTATCCCACCAGCCGGAGCGTGTAGCGAACGCTAGGTCACACTCGGCGTGTAGCATGTGACGCATTCAAACGCGGAAAGCTGATGTATGAAGAAGCCACAGTTGTGTCATGTCGAAATTACTGCCATTGTTCTGTACTGTGGTTACGAAAATCATTTTCTTCTTCAGCATTTTTGCCTTGTCTTCCAGTAAAAGTGAGACTCTGGCTACGCTAATGCAACCCAACAATTCGCTAGTAATGGGATCGACGGCTCAATCGCACTAAAAGCCTTCCTGTAAACACCTCGATCCCAATGAAATGTCGATGGGGTTTATTCCTTTTCTAATCCGATCGAGCGATCATGTAAACACTTGAAAACCGAAACTGAAAGGACTGCGCATGTGCGTAGAAATAGCGTAACGACGTGTGACGCGGGGAACGAGCTGTACAAAGTTGCATGCAAACGTAGCCGGTGTGTGTTTTCAGAGAATATCTGTTGGTAAATTGCCTTGTTTAAAGCATAAAGTTGACTAAATTTAGTTTGTATTGACTTTCCCCCCGACTAAGACATATTCTCTGAACGACGTTTAGATACTCGTACTGGGAATCAAGCAAAAATACTGAACAAGACAAGAGGTGCGTCTGAAATCTTATACTAAGTACTGCATTTGATAGGAAATGTACTTTAAAATGAAGTATGAATCAAAAATATTCAGATGTAATACATGCCATGTTGTCATTAGCTGTGTTTCCAACCAATGTTGCGAATTTAACTTGTGCGCAAAATTGGAATATCACATAAAACATTTGCGAATAAAGCAGCGTTTCCACCCCGTGTGTTCACGAGAACAAAAGCATCACTTCCTGGGAAACTGGCACTGAATGTCAGTAATAAACTAAGTTTCTGCAATCTTTCTCTTTTCCCCTCCATCATAAACGAGTGTGTCGAGCGTCACACACTTCAACTCCGGCGTTTCAGAAACACCAAACCAACATTAGAGACGCTGCGACGCCATTGGTCCACTGGTTACTCCAGTTATCCCGAGGGAAACTCAAATGAGTTTGTTGTTGCACATCGAGGGATTTATTCAGTAAATGTGTTTCCATCATATTTTGTGCATGTCTTCTTATCGGATAAATGTATCCTCACAACTGAGCACATTTGAAATGCACTGGTTTTCGTTTACTATATATTAGGGAAGTGGGTATACTTTTCATAATTTTTTGTAGTTAACAAACATTTTCTGTGTGAAAACAGCACGTTTGGCGGTAAAAGATAGTTTGGTACCTATTGATATTCCTTTCTTTTTAAACACCATTTGCAAATGAGCTCCAGACACAAAAGGGGCTTCATCAAGCTGATTGTTGCTGTTCAATAAAGCGTATAATAGAGATGAGTTCGGTTGTGATCGCGCGCAGTGATTCTGGCATGACGCGAGCGAGGAAAACAGCGGTGTCGTTCGCTTCGTTCTCATGTAGGAGGATTGAGTTTAGCAGCCGCCCACAGATCATTAGTGCCGCTGCTGATTTATACACGTGTGATGGTCGTTAGGAACATTGACTCGAGGGTTTGTTTTTGGATGTTCTGTGTTGCTAGAATAATGATGGTAGAGACAGAAACATGAGATCTGATCTGAAACCTCTAGAAAACATCTTCAACAAACTCTGAGAAGTGCATCGGAGTTGGTCTGACATTTTGCATCTAGTTTCATCATCCAAGAGGGGCAAATCGTGCGTCTGATTTTAAGCATGTACAGGTGAAACTCGAAAAATCTGAATATTGTGCAAAAGTTCATTTATTTCAGTAATTCAACTTAAAAGGTGAAACTAATATATTATATAGACTCATTACATGCAAATTGAGATATTTCAAGCCTTTATTTGTTATAATTTTGATGATTGTGGCTTACAGCTTATGAAAACCACATATTCAAACTTAGAATATTACATGAAATCAATTAAAAAAGGATTTTAAATACAGAAATGTCTGCCCTCTGCAAAGTATAATCTTGCATATGTTCTCAGGACTTGGTTTGGGCCGTTTTTGCATGAATTAATGCCGTAATGCGGCAGAGTGGCGTGGAAGCTGTCAGCAAAATATTCAAATTTTTCGAGTTTCACACCTGTATGTGTAATTCATGGGCGGGATTATGCTAATTGTGATTAGGTATGGGGCCTATTTCCAGTGATTGGAAAAATCTAATCTATCTTGGAGAAGATTTTTTGGGAAAGTACATTTTATGCACCGCTGATTTTGTTCCTCATTTGCACAGCTGATTTGTTTGTAAAGGACTCTCAATGCACATTAATTTCCATGATTGCATTTAAATTCATGTAGTCTTTTAGTGTCCTGATTCCAAAACTCCTGCTGTGATCAGATCAGCTATACTGGAGCGCCGGATCGCGGGTTTCGAATCAGCAGAGTTCGGGTTGGTGAATCAGCAGAGTTCGGGTTGGTGAATCAGCAGAGTTGGGTTGGTGAATCAGCAGAGTTTGGGTTGGTGAATCAGCAGAGTTGGGTTGGTGAATCAGCAGAGTTTGGGTTGGTGAATCAGCAGAGTTGGGTTGGTGAATCAGCAGAGTTCGGGTTGGTGAATCAGCAGAGTTCGGGTTGGTGAATCAGCAGAGTTCGGTTGGTGAATCAGCAGAGTTGGGTTGGTGAATCAGCAGAGTTTGGGTTGGTGAATCAGCAGAGTTTGGGTTGGTGAATCAGCAGAGTTTGGGTTGGTGAATCAGCAGGTTTGGGTTGGTGAATCAGCAGAGTTTGGTTGGTGAATCAGCAGAGTTTGGGTTGGTGAATCAGCAGAGTTTGGGTTGGTGAATCAGCAGAGTTTGGGTTGGTGAATCAGCAGAGTTGGGTTGGTGAATCAGCAGAGTTTGGGTTGGTGAATCAACAGAGTTTGGGTTGGTGAATCAGCAGAGTTTGGGTTAGTGAATCAGCAGAGTTCGGGTTGGTGAATCAGCAGAGTTTGGGTTGGTGAATCAGCAGAGTTTAGTTTGGTGAATCAGCAGAGTTTGGGTCGGTGAATCAGCAGAGTCTGGGTCGGTGAATCAGCAGAGTCTGGGTTGGTGAATCAGCAGAGTTGGGTTGGTGAATCAGCAGAGTTGGGTTGGTGAATCAGCAGAGTTTGGGTTGGTGAATCAGCAGAGTTTGGGTTGGTGAATCAACAGAGTTTGGGTTGGTGAATCAACAGAGTTTGGGTTGGTGAATCAGCAGAGTTTGGGTTAGTGAATCAGCAGAGTTTGGGTCGGTGAATCAGCAGAGTCTGGGTCGGTGAATCAGCAGAGTCTGGGTTGGTGAATCAGCAGAGTTGGGTTGGTGAATCAGCAGAGTTGGGTTGTGAATCAGCAGAGTTTGGGTTGGTGAATCAGCAGAGTTGGGTTGGTGAATCAGCAGAGTTGGGTTGGTGAATCAGCAGAGTTTGGGTTGGTGAATCAGCAGAGTTTGGGTTGGTGAATCAGCAGAGTCTGGGTCGGTGAATCAGCAGAGTCTGGGTTGGTGAATCAGCAGAGTTGGGTTGGTGAATCAGCAGAGTTGGGTTGGTGAATCAGCAGAGTTGGGTTGGTGAATCAGCAGAGTTTGGTTGGTGAATCAGCAGAGTTTGGGTCGGTGAATCAGCAGAGTCTGGGTTGGTGAATCAGCAGGGTTTGGGTTGGTGAATCAGCAGAGTTTGGGTTGGTGAATCAGCAGAGTCTGGGTTGGTGAATCAGCAGAGTTGGGTTGGTGAATCAGCAGAGTTTGGGTTGGTGAATCAGCAGAGTTTGGGTTGGTGAATCAGCAGAGTTTGGGTTGGTGAATCAGCAGAGTCTGGGTTGGTGAATCAGCAGAGTTTGGGTTGGTGAATCAGCAGAGTTTGGGTTGGTGAATCAGCAGAGTTTGGGTTGGTGAATCAACAGAGTTTGGGTTGGTGAATCAGCAGAGTTTAGTTTGGTGAATCAGCAGAGTTTGGGTCGGTGAATCAGCAGAGTCTGGGTCGGTGAATCAGCAGAGTCTGGGTTGGTGAATCAGCAGAGTCTGGGTTGGTGAATCAACAGAGTTTGGGTTGGTGAATCAGCAGAGTTGGGTTGGTGAATCAGCAGAGTCTGGGTTGGTGAATCAGCAGAGTTTGGGTTGGTGAATCAGCAGAGTTTGGGTTGGTGAATCAGCAGAGTTTGGGTTGGTGAATCAGCAGAGTTTGGGTTGGTGAATCAGCAGAGTTTGGGTTGGTGAATCAACAGAGTTTGGGTTGGTGAATCAGCAGAGTTTAGTTTGGTGAATCAGCAGAGTTTTAGTTTGGTGAATCAGCAGAGTTTGGGTCGGTGAATCAGCAGAGTCTGGGTCGGTGAATCAGCAGAGTCTGGGTTGGTGAATCAGCAGAGTCTGGGTTGGTGAATCAACAGAGTTTGGGTTGGTGAATCAGCAGAGTTGGGTTGGTGAATCAGCAGAGTTTGGGTTGGTGAATCAACAGAGTTTGGGTTGGTGAATCAGCAGAGTTTGGGTTAGTGAATCAGCAGAGTTCGGGTTGGTGAATCAGCAGAGTTTGGGTTGGTGAATCAGCAGAGTTTAGTTTGGTGAATCAGCAGAGTTTGGGTCGGTGAATCAGCAGAGTCTGGGTCGGTGAATCAGCAGAGTCTGGGTTGGTGAATCAGCAGAGTTGGGTTGGTGAATCAGCAGAGTTGGGTTGGTGAATCAGCAGAGTTTGGGTTGGTGAATCAGCAGAGTTTGGGTTGGTGAATCAGCAGAGTCTGGGTTGGTGAATCAGCAGAGTCTGGGTTGATGAATCAGCAGAGTTTAGTTTGTGAATCAGCAGAGTTTGGGTTGGTGAATCAGCAGAGTCTGGGTTGATGAATCAGCAGAGTTTGGGTTGGTGAATCAGCAGAGTTCGGGTTGGTGAATCAGCAGAGTTTGGTTGGTGAATCAGCAGAGTTTAGTTTGGTGAATCAGCAGAGTCTGGGTTGGTGAATCAGCAGAGTCTGGGTTGGTGAATCAGCAGAGTTGGGTTGGTGAATCAGCAGAGTTGGGTTGGTGAATCAGCAGAGTTTGGGTTGGTGAATCAGCAGAGTTTGGGTTGGTGAATCAGCAGAGTTTGGGTTGGTGAATCAGCAGAGTCTGGGTTGGTGAATCAGCAGAGTCTGGGTTGGTGAATCAGCAGAGTTTGGGTTGGTGAATCAGCAGAGTTTGGGTTGGTGAATCAGCAGAGTCTGGGTTGGTGAATCAGCAGAGTCTGGGTTGGTGAATCAGCAGAGTTTGGGTTGGTGAATCAGCAGAGTCTGGGTTGGTGAATCAGCAGAGTTTGGGTTGGTCAATCGTTGTCTTCTTCGCTGGTATCTGTCAGAACTCTCCGTGACTCAGTGTGATTTCAGCGTGAAGGGTTCGAGTAACGAGGCGTCAGAGGAAGTCCTCCGTGAGATCTGGGATTTTTAGCACTGATGCATGCTGGGATTGTGGAGATCAGAGCCTCATATCTGGCTTTCCTCAATACCAGGTAAGTACCGAAATGAAAAACATGCCATTTCATTAGTAATGTTTATTTATTAATATTGCCATAAAGAAGGGTTGATTTTATACAAAAGTCTCATTTGTTAAGAATAGTTGATGCATGATCTAGCAATGAACAATATATTGTTAGTGTTATTTCATTAAAGTACGATTCATTGTTCATGTTTTGTTGCATTGAACTGATATTAACAGTTTTGTGTTTTTACAAGTTGACATTTAAAATGTAAGTAAATGTTTTTCATTGTTAGTTCACACTAATTAAAGTTAACTAATATTAACGAATGTCGCGTTTTTAACCCTTCTAATGCATTAACTCTTTTCTCCATAGTTTTTAATAGGACGATAAAACATTGTGTTAAAAATTTTTTTTAAATATTTTTTAAATTAAGAATGCAATATATAACCTAAATTGTTTTCTCTTTTATTTTCTCTATTAGTTAGATTTGTCTAATATTACATCTGTAAAATAAATGTATCCTCTTTTCTACACTCACACACACACGATTTCCTTCCCACTCGGGCTGCATTATATTTCTAAACATGCATGAACTTAATTAAATGGTTTGTTTGTAGAACAAAAGTTCATAGGCCAAATAGTCTAAATTTGAAAAAGGAAAGAGGGCTCGGAAA